ACTCTGATGACAGAGCAATCTATTTTAATTTTATACAAAAATCAAGAAGGCACCACAAAGTCCCCGCTCTTTTAATGGGCCTGAGACATAAAGGGGGCTGAGCTTCAATCATGTCTCCAATGTTATCATTTTGAACACACTCACACCTGCCTTCTGTGAATGTCTTGGCTATTAGGAATTTTGATGGTGCCTCAAATAATAACAATAAGACTCTCCAGGTGAATGTACCCCAATCCCAGTCATTTGAAATTGGTGATACTCATTGGAGGTAATTGTTTACAGCATGGAAGAAGGGGGAAAGGGGTAGGGATTAAATTAAATATAAGAGAAAAAAATTGGTGGTATAGAAGTGTTTTTAAAGAAGTACGTATACAAAGCTTTCCTATTTAAAATGAATAAATTATGAAGACCCTGTTCACTTCTGCTCCTGCACCAATTTCTATAATCTTCACTGTAATAAAATATCGGATCTTTCCACAAATAACTACAGCCAACACTGAATTTTATTTGAAAATAAGGGTAAAATGTCTTTCAGAGTGAAGTTCATAATTTCTGACATGCATCGATTCCCAGCATGTCTCACTACAGAAAGTACTGTACTTGGGAAACTCCACTAGAATTTCAAAGACGCATATGCACTGGCAGTCAGTACTCTAAATGTTAACAATGAACAGAACATGAAATTTAGATTAACAAAATATACTATGTCTAAATAAATAAACTAATATTTCTTTAACATAACATAACTGGTTTACATAACATTTTAAGACACTGGCTGGGTGCATGACATGTTGAATCACAAACTCTCCAATTTATTTTAGTTTAACCTAATTCACTGAGTCAGCCCAGTCTATGAGTAGCTGGCAGGTGGTTAGGTCTGCTATACTTAAAATCCCATAGAGCAGCACTGCAGTTCTCCAGTGTGTTATACCAAAATAAAGTGTGTGTACTGATATAATCTGGGTTCAAATTCCTGTTCAGCAAGATAATTCATTGCGTCAACCTCAAAAGTTATTGTGAGCATAAAGCAAGGGGAAAACAACCTATATATAGCTCTGAAGTCTGTTGGATTCATACAAGGACCCTGACAATGAGTCTATGACAGTTTTAATTCACAAGTAGAAATAACCCATTTTATTTTTCTATGTGTTTTCCCATCCTTTCACTTTCTTCAAGTTTCCCAGCAGAGTTTGTTTCTATATGATTCTTTCATTGCTGAGATTATTAGGAAATGAAAGGGTACCAGATTCCAAAATGAGTGCCAGAGGGTTTTACAAATTAAGTTTACTTACCATTTTACTATTTTCATAGTCAATTAACCCTCTCTAATAGCAAGACATTGAGCATGATAACATTCATTGTTTTCCATTCCTTTTGTTTTTTTTAAAAAAACAATTGAAAAAAATTGTTTACTGAAACATTTTTGTCAGGTGTTTGAAGGCAACATCTTTCCTTCAATACAAAAATTCTGTAAAATTTCATATCCCTGCCAGAGTCCTGCTCTGTATTATCAGAACCAGCCTACATGCATCTTCATATATAAAAAAAGATAACTACCCACAGACAATACTGAATTTGGACTAGTCAGAGGTACGTTGAGATACCCATTCATTCATTTAACAGACAGGTGAGGATCAAATCATATTCTTCTAGTGTCTCTAAGCTTCTTCACAGGTTCACTGCAAAGATAAAGCATGTAGACCCCATGTTGTTTGATACATAAATATTATACTGAATATAACACTTTTAATTCAAAATAAATAATCAGCAGTAAATTGATTCTCATGTTATCAAGTAAGCACCTCTAAGCATATAGATTGAAAAATCAACTTAACTGTATTCAATGGGATACAAGCACGTAAGTGGACTATTTGTCCCAACTTGGCATCCAACTACTGTTTCCAATAGACAGTTTGGACAATAATTTCTTATGTTCTATTTCAGCTGGATTTAATAAGATCCCCACTGGAACAAATAAAAAAATCCATCCAATACAGTTTTCTGTTCCCATAGCATTTACTGTATTTAATTTAAAGTTTTATGAAATGTTTTTAATCTCCTTCACTACGAAACATAACTAATATACAAGTGTTTTCTTATCCATTATCATCTTTAGGCAGAGAGATTTGTACTTTACTTGTAGCCGTGAATACAGTTATTAGACACTTGGCCACCAATTCCTGCCCGTGGGTGTCTTAATCACAACATTTTGAAAGTCAGAGGTGTCACAAATGTTGCTTTGCCTTACACATTTGTGCTCATCTCCAAACCTTCTTTCCAGCATTCTATGAAGTGCTGAGAAGGTTTGTGAGCAATGATTCTCCTTCTTCTATTAATGAATATATTAAAGGCATGAAACAGAAACTATCTCTCTTATTAGAAAAAAATATTGCTCTTTTCTGCCTGACTGAAAAATGTAAAGGAATGAATCCATTCTTCTAGAGGTATCTATTATGGAAAGCAGAAACCACAGGCACATGCCCCAAGTGAACTAGCAAATGGGTTTATGATAATGCTTTAAGGATTATTTAGCCACAATCTGAAAAGATCCCACACCAGGGGTGTGTCACATCAGGAAGTAGCAGCACCTTCACTCAACTTGTAAAAAACTAAGCAGATATAAATCTAATCAGTAATTGGATGAAAGACCACCAGGGCTGTAGACTAGCTTAGAAAACAAAAGTCCCTGAAGCAAGGAATCACAAGCCATAATTGCGAGGGTGTGTTGGGCAGCCATATAAATTATGAAAGAAAAAGAAAGAACAAAAGTTGCATGAATATATCCATGTAGTCACCCAAAGTTGAACACAACTCAAGGGATATCTTATTTTTATCCTTTCTGAGGACTTGACCACTTCGCACTGTAAATAAATGTGATAATACTGTATAACTGTTTCTTCATATTTAAAAGTACTGAAAATTTAAGTCCTTTCATAAAGTAAACAAATAGTTGAAATAAAAACAAATAGTGTAGCTCAGTCCTAATTTTACTACATTCAGAAAGCTTTTATAAGCAGTTTATCCCAAAATAGCTATCATGTCAAAATGTGTGGGAGGTTCCACAATTGCCCATTCGCTATCATTTAGCTTTTACAAGCAGGAACTGATATTTAGAATATACAGATGGAAGAAACAGGTAACTCAATATTGCAAAAATATCAAAATGACTGAGTTATTATTACATTATTAGAACCAAAAACACTTGTGTGAAAGGAGGAAGTGAGCCCAATTTTAGCTACAGTATTTCCCCACCAGAAGCACACAATTCATTAAGCACAATTTCCTCTTGTCGTTATCACATGAACTCTCATTTTGCAAGATGATTCTGAATTGTAGGAGTCTGTTTTTCATATCCCCCCATCTGGGCTATTTCCATCTGAAAAGATAACAAGCACTACAAGAAAACAATTATCCTTAATTTGCTACCAGATCTTTTGTAAGGAAATTACTGACCACCCTTTATGTTTACTTTCACCACTTAAGACAGGACTCATTGTGCTATTAAGTCAAAGATCATGGAGCAAAATGTAGTCTCAGTAAGAAACACCAATAGAAAAGTGTACAGTTACACACTGAAGAACATGACCTGGACTACTTTTAAAATGCACTGGTATCCCAGACCAGGTATGCATAGCTGGATTATTTTAGTTATGTAGCAAAACTGGCCTAACTAGTAAAATTATAGCATTTAGTTAAATAACTCAAGCTTGTGGTTTGCCCAGTCTCTCTTGGTCATGGATTTCTCTGCTTTTACTAGGAAGCAATTTTAGATTATCTCTTGCCTATAAGAAGCCCCCTCTACCATACCCAGCTATATTCTCCACGTTCCTCTCCAAAGTACCACTTAGCTTACAGAATAAAGGGAGGGATAATAGCAAGCATGCCCTGTCAGTTGTTTAATATATCCCTGCCAAGAAAAAGGAGCTTGCTGCATTTTATTAGAAAGTTTACATGAGGGGGCAAATCTTAGCTAATCCCATAACTGCTGTTACTCCTTCTCTCTTCCTTAGAGTCAACAGGAAAAAAATCAATGCCTACAGCCAGGCACAAAACAGTTATCTAAGTTGTCCATGCAACAATAAATAACTGCATGAAACTGTCATAGCCCTATCATCATCACAGGAAAAATCTTGCTTTACTTGATGTAGAAAACTATTAATTTTATTTCTTTTTAAAGTTCCGGAAAAAAGAAATTTGGGAACCAGTCTTTATTAAACTGTTAAATCTTTTAGCCTGATATACATATTTCTAATCATTAAAGATACTTTAACATTTGTTTGCTTAAGTGTATCTGGGGACCTTATGCTAATGCTATGAACACTGAACTGCAAGTAATTCCATAACAATCCATTTTGGCAGAAATGTTCTGCAATTTCAGCATGCTCTACATTAAGCCACACTTTAATTTGTATTTCTACAACATCCCATGAAAGCTACTTATATTTTTAATCATTCAGTCTATCCAATAACCTAATGAAGTATAAAAAAAATTGAATATAAAGCTGCAAAGTTATGCATCTGAAAAATAACTCCTTGAAAACACCATGGTACTTTTGAAGAACGTAAAGGGGTACTATTTTAACATCAAGTAATATGACACAATTATTCTGTGTGTCGATTGCTTGCATATTGCAAGAGCCCCTGACATTTTAAGGAACTTAAAACTGTTTTCTTGCATGAGGCTAAAATTGACCGTAAGGAATTTCTTTACAAGATTGGCAATGATGAAGCTGAGTTTGGATCTTCTCAGCTCTCTGAGCAGGTAAATAGCTAAAGAGCAGGTCAAAAATATTTGTTAGTATTTTGTGTTAAACGTTAGTATCAAGTCAAGAAAAAAAAAACGGAAGTAGATTCGGCTCCTTGCTTTTTCTGGGTTAAAAAAGTTTTAGATTACATGTGTGGCAACTACAAAGGAGGAAACTGTTATGTTGCAGCCACAATGTTCCCCTAAAGGAAATTAATGGTGATATTGGAAAGAAAAGGATTAGCAGATTACTCACCACTAGAGGAATGGAACAAATCACTACGACCAAAGAAGTGGCAATGAGCAAGATGACCATCTGGATTTCTGCACCAGCCATGCGCCGGAAGCTCCTGCGCCGGCGAAAGTCTGACAGGCGGCTAGTGGCATTGTCTGTCCCCAGGGAAGTGCGCCGCATAAATTGCCTGTGCATGCGGATCAGGGCCATGCACACCAAGATGTTGGAGACCACCGTGACCATGATGAGGAAGGAGCTGAAGCCGGCATACATGTACGAGAAAGCAGCATGGCTGGACGTGTTTGTCTGCCAGTCTATGAAGCACCAGGTGTACGGGTACTGGAGCTTTGTCTTCCCCAAACCCATGCTTGGCATGGCACAGAAGAGGACGTTGGAAACATAGATTGCAAAAAGAGTGAGCGCTGCCAATTTCTTATCCACATAATGGTTGTAGAAGTAGGCATGGTTGATGGCCAGGTACCTCTCTATGGACATGGCGCAAATGATGCTGAGTCCAGACAGGCCAAAGAAGAGGAGGATGAAGCTGCTGTATTCACACAGGGGTTGGCCACCAGGCCATTCGTGTTTCAGGTATGTAGCAATAGTCACTGGGCTGACCAGGCAAGTCCCCAAGAGGTCGGTGACAGCCAATCCGCAGACCAGGGTGTAGAAGGTGGTCTCTTTCTGCTCCTTCCGGGACTTGCAAAGAACCACAATGGCTATGAGGTTCCCTACGACTCCGAAAATGAACATGACCATGGGGATGGTCAGGGGTTTGCCGTTCTCAGCCAGTACACCTGTCCCATTAGAGGAGCTGTTGGTAGTGGGGAGCATGGTGGGGTTCAACGCCATGGCAAACCTTGAGAAGACCCAGCAGAGAAGGGTGGAGGAGAGAAGTGGATAAGCTACAAGGGTTAAGGGTGCTAAAGTTCAGTTCTGAGAGGAAGGGAAACCAGAAGACAGCAAACATAAGGGGACAAAAAAAACCTGCATTTCAGAGAGAGAGAAGAGAAGTGAGAGTGGAACCGAGTTGGGGAGTTATTCTTATTTCAGAAAGATGGGGGGAAACAGTAGCCCCAACTCCTCAAAAATAATTCTGCAAGGCAGGAAGGTAGAGACTTGTGGGTGGGTTTCCTGCCTGATTCTTGGGCTTGTTTGACCTTCTGTTCTTCAGTTTAAAAATCGGTCCCGTTTTTGTCACAGTAGGGCTTCCCGCGCCTCTTCGGGGGAAAAAAAACTAGCTGTTTTTCTTCGTTTTTCAGATTCCCGAGCGAAGACCTCTATCTCCGAGCAGACCAACGCCAAATAGATTTCTTCCCAGGGCTTCGCCAAGCCACCCCGATTGGAAAGTTTCGTGGCCCGCGGGTTTCGAAAACCGTTTCGCGCGATTCCTCCGGTTGGCTGGAGGCAGCGGCGGCGGCGGCGGCGGAGACTCCGCGACTATCTTATCCGTCCTCTCCGGCGGGGGTCCGATCGCAGCGCGGTGGCTTTGGCGGCAGAAGCCGGAGCGATACATCTCATTCGAGGCTCCCCATAGGAGAGGAGCCGGGGAATCGGGGGAGCCAGCGATCGCCCGGGGATGCGGAGGATGCCGCGCGGAGAGCGGGTGCCCCAACTCAGCCACTCTTCCCGCGCCAATCATGTGCCTCTCTGAGCGCGGCGCTTACTCACCCTTCGGAGCGTTTGCAACTTCGCTCCTACAAATTTCTCGGCAGGGGAGCCGCGCTTGGCGACGCCCACCTCGCTCCTCATTGGTCCATCGGCCGGAGAGCGAGAGAGGCGCGGTCCGGAGGGAGCCGCTTTGCACGGAAAAGAGCTTTCCAGCGAGCGGGGCGCGAGTTGCGTGTGTCTTGTCACTTCGGGAAGGGGTGCGGCTGGGGGTGGGGGTGGGGTGTCCTGGCTGCGCGTGACTTTTCGCTCAGCCTTCTCCAACCGGGCCCTCTCGCCGCTACCCCAGTCCGCAATCGTAGGCGGGTATTTTAACCCAGCGCTCCGACAGGCGCGTATAGAAAAAAGCGAGGCTTAATTTTGGGGGGGGGGGGGGGCAAAAGGGTTTTCTCCCTGCTTTGCAGCCGCGGCTGGGATGAGACCCGAGTGGTGGGTTTCCTGGAAGTCCGTAGTTTCCCAGGAGGCCGGAGCTTCAAAGCCTGGGAGTGCGGAAGTAGAAGGCGAGATCGCTTCGTTCTTCGCTTTTTAGTTACCGTAACTCAGGGGTCTTCAGACTTGGCCCTTTTATGACTTGTGGGCTTCAACTCCCAGAATTCCTTAGCCAGCGTGCCTGGCTGAGGAATTCTGGGAGTTGGAAGTCCACAAGTCATAAAAGAGCCAAGTTTGAAGACTCCTGACGTAACTCCTTTCTGGGTCAAAATGCCTAGCAGCGGTGTGTGGCATTAAACTTTTGGCAACTTCAAGAGGTGTGGACTTCAACTCCCAGAATTCCCCAGCCGGCATGGAGTTGGAAGTCCACACCTCTTGAAGTTGTCAGGGTTGAGAGAAACTGCATTAAAGTACAGGTAGTCCTCGACTTGTGACCATAATTGTGGCCAACATTTCTGTGACTGAGACATTTGTTAAGTGAGTTTTGCTCCATTTTACAGCCTTTCTTGCCACAGTTGTTAAGTGAACCACTGCAGTTGTTAAGCTAGTGACACTGTTGTTAAGTGAATCTGGCTTGAGATGGTCACATGACCCCGGGACACTGCAACTGTCATAAATATGAATCAGTTGCCAAGCATCTGAATTTTGATCATGCAGGGATGCTGCAATGGTCCTAAGTGTGAAAAATAGTCATAAATCACTTTTTTTTCTCAGTACTGTTGTAACTTTGCACAATCACTAAATGAACTGTTGTAAGTCAAGGACTACCACACATAAAGAATGTGTGATTGATTATGTGCTATCAAATCGGTGTCCACTGTTAGCAACTATATTTTCTTCCTAACCTGTTTTTTCAAGTCTCCTGACTATGCCCATTGCCACTTCAACTGGGTCCATTCACCTTGCTGCTAGTTTTCTTCTCTTTCCTTCCACCTTTCCCAACATTAAAGCCTTCTCCAGAGAGCTAGGTCTTCGCATAATGTGCCTAAAGTAGAATAATTTGTGCCCTCTGTGAAAACCCTGGGCTGATCTGTTCAATAATCTATTGATATGTTTTCTTGGCTGTCCACATTATTCTCGGAAGAGAAGTTTTCTCCACCATCAAAGTTCAAAATATCAATCCTTTTTCTGTTCTGCTTTTTTTAAAATTTAGAATTCACTTTCATAAAGTGTCATAGAGAATATTGTGGCTGGCATTATTCTGTAGATAAGAGATATATATCATCACATTTGAATATGTTTCCCAAGACCTTTGTGGCTGCTCTACCAAATGCTAATCTGTGGCATGTTTCTTGACAGCTTGTTCTTCTGCTGTTGATGGTTGATCCCAGAAGATGAAGCTATCCACCACTTCAATAACTTTACTGACAGTTCTAAGACTTATTATTATCCCTGTTGTTGTCATTAGTTAGATCTTCGTTAATCTTAGTCTCATTTTGAACTCCTTGATGTTCATTACTAGATTTTGCAGATCCTTTGCATCTTCAAAGGAGTGGGCAGTTGATAGCTCAATGAACAGCAAACACCTGTGATTTGCCTATTAAGCTATAATAGGGTTGCTTAGTAGTGATGTGTTGTTAAACCTACATTTAATATTTAGCATGTTGGGTGAACCCAGGCAAAGCTTCATCCAGTTGTTCACCATGGGGTGGGTATCAGGTCCAAGGCCAATAGTGTCTTTAGAGAATTTTAGACCTTAAACTCAGAGGAGTTGGGGAATAAGCCCCATTTGTTGTAGGAAATGCAGAAAAAAACCAACAAATAAAACAAGCATCCATTCCTACTGCTTTTAGAAAGCTAGTACATTAAAATGTGTCTTTTTGGAAATAGTCTATTCCAGTTGTTCTCAACATTTTCTTCACTGAGGACCTCCTTTAAATACCCTTTGTGGCCATGGATCACAAAGTCTTAACTCAAAATTTAAATCATAACATTTCTTCAAATCTTTGCAGATCCCCTGTGATGACATTGCGTGCCCCCCCTCCGAGATCCATGGACCACAGATTGAGAATTACTGGCCTATTCCATCATTTATAACATGGTGGTCAACTGGAGATACAGACTGAGCTTCTCTTAAACAACAAACATGAGGCTGAAGACAAACGGAGGCCAGCATGGAAGTAGAGCAGACAGATGAGTTAAGGAAGTTGATTTTTGAGTAAGAGCTTTGATATCTGGAGAATAGATCTAGAGTGGTTTCAGACAGAGAATTCCCATCCCTGCTTCCTTTCCATCCTTCCTTATTATGGTAAGAAAACAAAAAAGCAAATGGAATGATGGGAAAACACAGGAGGATTACAGATGGGAGACTACAACAACTTGACCTTCCCATAAAATTCTTTGAGTGAGACTGGACAATTGCACAGTAAAACTCTTGTCAGGACATATGCCCTAAACTGTTCTAAGAACATAGACCAAATGCCTACAGATACTTCTCCCTTGTTACTCATTAATTAAAAGTCATACTTGCTTTTATGGCCAAATAGAAGAGATTCTTTATCCAGCATCCGATGTCTACTATTTCATTTCAACCTGTGTGCTGTTTTCTCATGCGTCAATGTTTTTTTTCCCCCTGGGAACAACATTAAAATAATTTGTAGTAATAATATAGACACTCTCATATGAACTTGATAGTCATTTCTGTCATGCACCGATTACAGAAAGCTGTGGACTGCAGCCAGCTTTATCCTGTCTGTGACTACATGAAAGCAACACCCAGATTATAAAGGAGATGCATCAGGATAAAGTGATAATATTAAAATCTAGCTGCTCTGTTTCAGGCTATAGAAAGAGCATTTAATTTAGTGTTCCTTAATGAAGAAATTTCAAATATAAGCTGGATTTTTCCCCCTGACATGCTAGTTTACTTTATGCATGAAGATTTATTTTATTATTTAATTTATATCCTACCTTTACTTTGCACAGAATAATATAGTATAAATAATGCTCCTGCATCCTATTTTCTCTACATTAACCAGGTGAAGTAAGGTGAGTTGAGAGATAATGACCGCCCCCAAATCACCCTAGAATTTATGGTTTCCTAGTTTCTAATCCTGCATCTTAACACATACACCAAACTAGCTCTTGATTGGGAAATATTAGCTGTCCCTGATGTTATGGAGTTGGGCAACTCTAAATGTAATTCATTAAGTGTCATTACCTCCCCAGAGAAGCATTCAAATGTCCTATATGCTACAGCTATTAACAACAGTAATTGGGACTGGGAATTTCTTTCACTATGCAATGCAGTCATAAAACATAATATCATGTGGCTGCATCACTTAGTGATGGCAATCCTAGCAGTCCTCATTGCTGTTATCCAAGGATTGCGGGCCGTTAACACAGTGTTTCTTTAATGGTGCAGAATGGAGAAGAGATCACCTGGTATCCTACTTTCCATCTCTATTCTGCTGCCATTATATACATGAAAGGGTTAAAGCTGGAATAACCAAAGGGCCCTCTCTTGGGACTGTCTATGCTAATTGTCCACATTATTATTTTCAGTGGCTCTGGAAAGTTCCTTTATATAAAGATAATGCAGATCAGGAGTTGACATTTTTTTTGTCAGATCATGGAACTTATATTTTTTTTAAAATTCCCAGAACTCCTGATCAAGAATGGCAAAGCACCAATGTTGGAAAATTAGTAATAAAACAAAAAAATAAACTATTTATTGCTCACCCGAAAATTAACATTTCCTATGTACGAAAACAAGACTCGCATTTCACAATTATTTGGGAAGTTAATGCTTTAGCCAAACAAATCAGTGCTGAATGACTGGGTGTAATTGCTTTTTCTGAGATCATTGTTCAATATTTGGAACAATTAATGCTACTTCTCAACATAGATCATTGTTCTTGTATATGGTTGCTTTTTAACT